AGGTTGTTGTGAATTTCTTATAATACATGGCTTCCTGTCAGATGAGTAAAAATACTGCCTTACTTTAACACGAAAATGTTTTAGAGAATTTGCTTTGAATTGCTCTCGTACAAGCTTACAGTATGTTAAACAGTAACAAATTATAGATACAGTATAATTTAGACTGAGCTGCAAGATGCCACAGTATCCCCCAGTTCTAGTTATCCCCTTGATAAAACAGGAACAAATATTATAATAATAATAATTGGATAATGTATTTTTTTTAATTCAAAACATTATAAATTTCGTACTAGCATTGTAGACAGTAAAACATTTTCCATGCAGTGTATATAATGAATTGAATTCTATAGAATACAAGGGTCACAATTAAATACACCTTCAAGTTTTCCTTTTCACCAAAATCAAAGGCATAATAAAATTCTGCTCTTTGGGAGCTGAATGGAAACATTGTTTGAAAGTTTCTATTTTCCCTGCAGTATAACAGAAGGTACAGTAACACACTGTAGATAATCAGTAGCAGCAGCGCATCATCATGGTTAAGTTCAGAGAGCTCTCTAAAGACTGCAGGCAAATGGTCATTGACCTCAAGAAGCTGGAGAATATTTCCCACTCAGTGTTCCTTTATAAGGAATTTAAGACCACCGATATAATGACAACAAGGAAGAGGATGCAAGTGTGTCTTGACACTATGGGCTGTGGGATAAATGGTTGGAAGGCAAGAGTAGATCTTCATTTGTCCAGAATCTATGGATCAAAACCTCTGTGTGCTTAAAATGACAAGCACAGTTTTAATACTGTTACACATTACTATCACTTGACAGAAACGGCCCTGTGTGTCATGGCTAGAACTTTCTGTTAACTACTACAAAAGAACAAGTAACAGGTTTATTCCATGCTGAAAAAAAAGAAGAAAGAGAACACAACGTTTGGCCGTGGAGCCTTCTTCAGGTTACTACAAAAGCCCTCTTTATTTAATTCAGGGTGCTAGAATGAGTAATGGCTTTATTAGTATTTATTTTGATATCTGTGAACATCAGGTGAGCTCATATGGCTCTCTTGAAGTAAACCCATTTGAGTGTTCTTATAATGTGTGCAAATCTAAATATTATATTCGCACCATAATCCATTCCATGAATGCTGGACTCATGCAATGCAGAACACATCAGAAACAAACAGAGAATTGAATTACCAAACACTAATAGAAGAGAGAAATTGCAAACACTCAGTAAAATGCAATATAAAAACTATGAACAACTAGAGAACCATATGGACATGTTACAAGAGCTACCCACAAATTGGGCTTTTGTACTATTGGACATAGATGTAAAGATGTAAAGAGATGTAAGAGAGATGTAAACATTTTTACTTTTTAAATTTAATTTAATGTTTTATTTAAGCAGATTGTCAATTGAGAACAGATTTACAAGCCCAGAGTAATGCATTTCACAAGCCACAAGGAAGGCTTCCCTAAACTGAATTTTAACTTAATTTTAAAAAGAAAACTGATGTGCTGATTGTGAGAGTGTTCTAGCTATGAAACTGCGGACATTGCTTCATAAGAAGATAAAATAAAAATGAGAGAAAGCCATTTGACCCGTCCAGCCTGTTCTGTCGTAGTTAATTGATCCAAAAATCTCATCCAGCTCTTTTTTGAAAGAAAACAGGGCATGTTAATACAGTCCATTAGAGTTTTTGATTTAAAAAAAAATAACTTATATTGTGAGGCCATGTAGAAATATGCCTCACAAGGTGTGGTTTTTCCTGTGGTCCCTACCTTGCTTTTTTGAAGTTTCCCCTACCCAAGATGGTGATGCTGGTCAACAAGATAGCAGCAATCACTGGAGCTGGATCAGCTGCACATCCTGCTCTAGTCAGGATAAATGGAGACAGTGATGACCAGGAGCGGAGTCCATACACAAACTATGCCAGATTGCCCCATTCTCTGCCTGGTGCAGGGTGCATTAGTCTCAGACTTGTGGAGCTATTCTAGCAGCAAGTCCTAAATATAAGTAACATTCATTCAATAACTGAAAAATAAAAACACACTTTTCAATACATTATCCTGATATATCCTTACAGGACACCCCTTACAGGATTTTGAGGCTATAACTGAAGATGTTCTTTAAATTTCAGATTTAAAAGAATCCATATACAGTAAGGTCTCCTGAGTGTTTCAAAATGTAAAAAAATGCCCTTTTAGAGTGCAGCTCAAGAACTATAGCCCTCTCTTGATTAAGCCATGAGCAGACTATTTTAGTGTGTTTAATGATTGATAAAGGTGACTTTTGTTCTTGCAACAAAAGTGGTATAATTTTAGATATTTTCAGTTTCTACCCTGCAATGTAATGCATGCTATAGATGAAAATAGGTCACTAAGCCTATCTGTGTTTTCTTAATTTAGGAATAAAAAGGAATACACATCCAAAGTCAAGCCAATTATTTATATTACAGTATCCACAGTCCTACAGCTAATTTGAGGTGAGGTACATCCTTCACTGACAGTATCACATGCTTACAAACATCCAGGAAAGGGGTTTCCTGTGTCACTAAGACTGGCCAGGCTGACTTATCCTAACCAACACTTGGTAGTAGTGTTGCAGTCAGTTGTGTGCCTCTACTTGGGGAATCCCAGTTACAGTCAGAGAACGATATGACAGAGTCTCTAACCTGTGAGCTACACCTGCACTCGTTAAGTAACTTTACACATTAAGTCACTCAGGAGGCCCTTGGTTGTCGTACTGCAGGTAGTTTATAAATCCAAGGCTTTTATCCAAACTCGTTTTGAGTGTCTCCAAGAACAGGCTTCTACAACATATTTGGCCAGTTTCTTTGACACTTTCAACTTTGCGTTAAATACTTTTAGCCCAGAAGGCACTTGCTTCCAATTTATACTTCAGAAGTAGGGTCAAATTCTAATAATGATGAAAAATGCAGACAGATATAAAGGGGTAGAGTATTTAATACTTTGGCATTAGCTTGAACAGCTGAAGAAGTGCCAGAGATGGTTAAAGATCAGAAATGTCACGTTCCCCCTCGAGAGGGGTGGAGCCAGGAGGAAACTGCTGCAAGAGTGAAGATGGGGTTTAGGGAGGGAAGCTATAAAAGATGTGTGCAGCACCATGTGCAGCCAGAAAACATTTATTCATAGGGGAGCTGAAGTGTGACGTTAGAATTTGACCTCCTCCCTTTCGAGCCTCTGTCAAATAAAACCAACTTTAACTGTTTGGTTAAATAATAAGTACTGTATAGACAAAATAGGCTGACGAATATTAAGGGATAGTGTACTTAATACTTTAGTATTGACTTGCCTGGAGGAGGAAATGACAGCATTGGTCAAAGACTGGCCATCTTAAGATCAGCAATATCAAAACTCCCACTGTAGGGTCAAACCACAGAGGCAGATTTAGAAAACGGAGGAAGTTTCACAGGAACCGACTGTGTGTGCAGCAAGGAATAAACAATACCCGTATAAGATGCAGGCTTGAGGTTGTTAAAATGAGAAGATTCCGAAATGCAGTTTTTCAGAGAAAGACTGATGTTGAATTAGGTGAATGACAAGTAGATGAGGGTGAAAGGAATGGGAGTCAGCGAACAGGTGTTAGCTGTAGCAGCTAATACTATTAGCAGAGGCCAGGCAGGGACCGGAACTGTGGTGACCTGGAAGAGTAGCTTGCCACGAAAGTAAAAATAGAGCCAACACTTGCTGAAATCTGCCAGATGGAAATGGATGAGGATGTATTCCAAGTGAAACCTCCAAAAGAAGAAGAAATATCAGATTTCTGATGAGCCGAGGGCGGACACCACACCAAAAGGACGCCAACCGAGGGAGGGCATAAAGGGAGTGAAGGGAATATACATACACAAGGGCGCAGAAGTGTGACATTAAAATCTGACTTCCTCCTGAACGGATGTTAAGTAATACCATTTGTGTCCTTATTTATCCGAGCTTGAAGAAGCACTCTGGATTACCTTTCTCAGTAACGTTCAGGATTGAGCTCCTCTGGAGGTTATAGCTTTACCTAAAGCTTTTGATGAATCACTGAATGCGTCACCTTAATGTGTCACCCTAATAATGTTAGCAGCCATCGGGCAAGGACCCATAAGACTGGGATTATCATCATAGACGAACTGAACAGCTGTATTGCTGTATTTTACTATGAAGAGCACTCTTGAGAAATGTTGACCAGACAAGCAAGTCAATATTAACGATGGCCCAATAATACCACTGATACAGTAGTTGCTAAAATGGAGGAAGAAGACCATTATCCTTGTGCACTGTCTATGCCAGAGTATTTACATTGTATTGTTATTAACATGCTTCTGGTTATAGAACATAAGAAAGTTTACAATCTACAGTAGCTCATTTGGTAGCTATCTGTAGTAGTTAACTGTTCCAATGAGCCTAAATGTGTCCTGTAGAATAAGTATAACATTATATCTTAATTTTAAACTTAAACAAGGGGGTTATATTTTAAAGTTTCTCATTACACTTAAAACCTCACACTAATGTTTGAACAGATAATGCAATTTTACATTAAAATGAATACTAAAAAATAAACGTTAATATGTCAAAAGGCAGATTATATGATAATAACCCCAGAGGCTATATTTAAATGAATAGGTTTTCTGTATTAACACATCTGAAATTTACACTTTAAGTTTGTATTCTAAAATAAATCAGAATGTCAACAAATATGATAATTAACTGAGTGTTTTACTGTATCAACTAATTAATAATCCACCAAGTCTTATATAATGTAAATACTTATATATCCATTAAAGAAACAAATAATCAAACTTAAATATACAAAGAATTACATCAAGTAAACAACGGCACATTTCAAATTTTAAGAATACTGTAAGAGTCAATGGGCGACAAAACACAATTAAGTTATTAAAATCCATCCATTTTATAACCTTTCTTCCAATTCAGGGTCGTGGGGGAGCTGAATCCTATATTTAAGTACATAATGGATACAAAAAATAAAACACTATATATATTTTTTTATTTTATTTTATTGTCCATAAATGACATGTTGAGAGTTTCCTGCAAAATAATGACAAAAGGCTCTTTCATGTTTCTATTAACATTTATATGCAGCTCATCCCCATTTCTGATTAGCACAACAGTGGTATCATTAAATAAATAAATAACAGTAAAAGAGTACAAAAGATAAGATTCTGAATACACTGCTTTTGTTCACTGCAGACCTTACTAATAAATTGCTTTTCTTACAATTGAATACAGTCTATCAATACCTCTGAAGAGGACTGTAATACTTATTATACATGGGCTCCATCTGTATTATACTGTACATTGACGGAGCAATGTCAAAATGTCAGGTGTTCCTATCTATACTACCAATTCATATAGTATCAAAAGCCAATAGTGCACATATAATATTTCATCACAATATTTCTAATTGTGAAAACTGCCCAATCCACCCAATGACATTTTGTTTTATGCATTTTAATATTTATCCATGTTTTGTGAAATTTTCAACTAGCCATTCGAAAACTCAAAAAGCTCAGAGAAAATCATATCTAAAATTCGACAAAAGAGGTGATGATCATTAAAATGCATCAGACCATTTCCATGAATTTCATTAAAACATTTTCTGCCTTTATGATTAGAAAATACATTCAGACTTTGTGAAAATCTCTTCTAAGCATTCAAGGGTGCCACCAGGGGGTACTTTTCAAAAGCCAGTGTCTTAAAACCATTTAACGAAACAAGAAAACTGTAGCCTAAAAATATACATCATGACGCTGAAACATCTGTAGTAAAATCATGGCAGCATTTTCATCTAAAATTTGATAATGGTGTATGATATTTACTGTAAAAGGTACACCAAATACTGTATGTCAGAGGAGGTCACTGGTCAGGTTTATCAGGACCAGAATCTAATCAAGTCATTTTCTTATTTTCTATAAACAAAGGACACAGTCATCCTCCAGCTGAAAAAACATTCATGTGTGATTTTGTGGAATCAACACTTCAACTTCCAGAATCCGAAAAACTGTACATTTGAAAGGCAAGACAAAGTCAGTTGATGATCCTTAGTGTACAAATATGGCAGACAGAAGAGCTTGGAGGCTTTCATAAAAGCTTCTGTGCAATTCCCTTGAGTTTATGTGCATTCAGTTTGCATGGAATTCATTTTCATCAGAGAAGAGTCTTTGTGCTTCAGCTCAATCGGAACCCTCACAGGAGATGCACAAGTGCAAAAAGGGTTTCTGCAGTTAAAGCTCATTGTAGGAATTCTCTGCAGTTTTGAACATCAGAATAGAGTTGTAGATTTTCAAGGCAGGTCCAAGTTTAATACTCAGTATCTTCACCAGGTCCACCTGTGTGAGCAGCAGAAAGGCCTCACCATCAATTTGCTGAGGGAAAGATGAGAAGGCAGTTAAGATAAAACAAACAAGCCCAGTTGGATCAGTGTGTACTGAGACATTCAACTTTCAGCACATGGATAATTATACCATATTCATGTTACAATTTCTGCAGAATCTAAAAATAGCTCCTACATATCCACAGTGACTGGGATGTACAATATAATCATTTCCTTTCAAGAGCTGCCCTGAAATGCACATAAAGACTTTTTCTTTAGCAGATTTGTAGTGTTATTTTTAATGTATTAATTTTAGTAAAACACATGCCCTTAATTCCTACAGTCGTTTAGTTCTGCCTCTTAATGGATAAAAAATTACAAGACTACAGCACAAGTTATTGTTCTCTATTCATTTTACATCTCTTCAACAAGTTGCACTATATCAGTATCACATTTAAATTTCCACAGTACTGCTAACTGTCACATCAGCAGAGTGAAAATCATCAGAACATTTCAATATGATTACAATGACATGTAGTAGATCTCACGCAGTATAAAGCAATCCACTGTGCATTAGGCCCTAGAAATGTCTCCTATATTTGTGTCTCTTTCCCTTCCCTTATCCACCTCTTTCTGTTGTCACCCAGCAGCCCGTTCTGCTCTGTCTGAAACTCAGACCACATTGTGTCCAATCTTTTCGGTCATGGCCCTTGATTGCATTGCACCCGCACTGTGGTCCCCAATTTTCCAGGTGTACAGGCTGCAGCTCAGACCACAAAGCCTATGGGTTCCCCTCTCTGCCGGCATCCTACATGGTACTGTGTCGGCCCCTATCATTCTGCTCCACCCACGGCCTCAGCCCACCTGCCCAGTGTCCTTGATACCTGTCTATGGAAGAAATGCAGCATCCTGTCTTCACAAAATTTCTCCATTTCCCCTTTTGGATTTCTCACATTCTCTCTATACTGTGGAAGTCAACATCCAGATACACTAACTCCTCCCTGTTTCAGCAACCCCTTTGTCAGCCTTGCCCCCTATTCTGGAGAGCAATGCACACAAACTGTCCACTCTCACACTTTGGCTTGGAAATGTTGCTAAGGCTTCCACTGGATCATTTACAGTATATCCTCTTTTCATCATTGGATCTACTACATCTTCTGTCTTATTCTGTTTCATCATTAAACATACTTTCCATCAGCATTATGGGGTCCCAATAACTTCTTTTGGGGGCTCTGACAGTCAGGTTAGATAAGCAAATAAAGCACACAAGTTCAAATACATTACTATTTACTCCATCTTAAGTAGGGTTTGACTGAATTAGTTAGAAAAAGCTAAATGTGATTGGAATGCTTTCCAAGGATATTTATCAGAAAACCTTTCAATGTATGAATATAGGAGTTGGCAGGCATTGTCGTGGCATGTTGTCATCTGAATGAATTTTCAGACATGCAATGGTCAGGACAAGTGCCAATTCTTACTCTACAAGCACAAGGTATCTTTCTTGGCTTAGTATGATGCACCAAGAAGGTTGATTGTTGACCCTATCTGTTAGGTTTATGCTAATGACCCATTCTGAACTTTATTTCGGCATAATTTTGTATTGGATTTTTTTTATAGCAAGCATGCTGTATGTTGTGCAAGGTATTTATTCAAACTCCATCCTACTACACTGCACTGCCTGTAAAAAAGAAATGCACTGTAAAAATCAGAAATAGGGCTTATTGGGAACATACAGCAATAGTATTTTGTGAATGTCTACCAAGATGTTCGGCAAGCTGTTATACATTGTTCATAAAGCGTGACTATTAAAATGCCACAGAGAAATGACACCACAATCTGTGCGGTTATTCACATAACAAGGACAGTAACTGAGATAAAACCATCAGGGACAGACAGGAGAGCACTTAACAACATGCTGGCTCGATGTGTAGGAAATAAAATGACAATCAAGTCCAAGTCCTTACTACTGCAAGGAAAAGCACCACAAAAGGAACATATTTATGATGTTATTTTTTTTACAATACAATTCAAGAAGACTGACGATTTTAAGAGAAACCTGGCACAATGACCCTCATTAGAACCATTTTATCCATTTCACCACTTTTAAACTGCTTTACACTTAAAATAATTAGAATGCAAGGAAAAGATGAATTAATGAATTACTGTTATTATGAGATACCCACAGCAGATTGCATCCCAGATGTTAAAAATGACAGCTGCTGTTGTTCCAGTCCCATTGTAAGGAACTATCCCCTTTTAAAACTGACAGATTATTTTTCTTTAAGGTTTTACATATGTTTAAACTGGTTACAGGCCTTTAAAAATGTTGTCTTTTTTGGTCTTAATTAAAGTTGCAATGCAGCGCTGAAATAATCCTGAAGAGCAGGGGATTCATGATTTGCCTGCAGGCTGTGAGTGACATTCAAACAAGATTCTGTTTCAAAGCAAATAGAAAGAAACCTTGATTCATACCGTAAGCTCAAACATAGCTTTTAGGTTCTAAGCAAATAATTTCAGAGTTAAATATATTTAATTTTAAAGCTGATCACTTGGATACCAAATTAGTTGTTTATATCACTTCTATGATCTGTTGATTATTTATTCCTTAACAAAAGTAGTATCATCCCATCGTTCAGGAATTTAACTTTCTTTAAATATCTCTTAAGTTAGAATTGTTTAAAAAGAAAGGAAGGATGAAGACACTCTTATTGTAATAAAAACATATCTGCTCCAAAGCTAACTTTAAACAACACTGCACATGCTAGAGTGAATATTTTATAATTCACATTTAACGATGCTACAGGCATCCAACTATTGAGAGTGCATCTGCATTGGGTTTCGGAATTAGAGATATAAGGCCTTGTTTTAATTGGAGCTCTAATTTACCATCTTATTGAACCTTCATTAAATATTTAAAATAATGGATCTTTAATTAGGTTTAGAGATTTTCCCAAAACTGGAAATAAAATTGTACCATTAGACCAAAACCGGAAATAAAATTTTACCATTAGATAGATATAACATATTAGAGCTTAATTTAGGAAAACAATGATTTATACCATATTATGTACAATCAGCTTACATATTCAGAGATTTACTCTGGGTTATTACAAATTGCATAATTAATTTTGAGAGGAGATATCAAGATTGTGTTTTGCTTGTTGTATTTGATCTAAATGGCTAGAGGAAGGGGAAATATTTACGCACCTTTGGGTAATTTCTAATGTGATCTAATAATATTTTAGTCAAAATAATGTATTTATTAAATAGTGAATAATAGTTTATTATAATTAAATAGTTTGTGCAATTTATTCAGAACTTCCCATTTTTTGTTCTTTGCTTTACTGAAAAGTTAATTTACTGGGTTACAACATAAATACACCAATCTTTCTAAATCACCAATGCTTTTATCATTAAAAACGTCACCTGCTAATTTCAATATGGTCATTAAAATTTGCATAAATTCCAAGTAAAACATTTTATTTTGCTTGTCTTTGAAAACCACTAAACAAAAAATCAATTCATTTAAAATTGGATAAAAATGCACATATACTGTACATGAATTACTGTTCGTATATCACAAAATACCTGTAGAAACAAGATATACTGTAAATCTGTGATTAAAAAAAGTTTAATTTCTCATCAAATCATGTACAGATAGTTCTAATAGTATATGTTTTTGGTTTAATGTGCTTTGTACTGTGTACAGTATAAATACCATTGCTTAATTTAGGTTAAATAAGTTCTCAGTTTAACACACTTGGTCATGGTCAGCACCAGGCAAACCAATGGGAGTGTATGAGATAATATAAGCATTTAATTGCACTTGTGCATATGACAAATAAACCGAACTGAATTTTGTTTATGCTAGGAGATGAGGAGCATCTCTTGAGTGACACACAGGCAGATGGGCAATCTCAGAGTCTCAGAGTTCTTCCAGTTCTCCCATGGTTTCACACTTTCTAAATTAGTCAATGCAACATCTTTGACTTAAGGCTGTAACACATGCTTTGTTACAGGGTTGCCCTTATGAGAGTAAAACCTGTCCCTAAATGTTTAGTAAAATTATCCTTTGGGACTTGTGGAGTAGATCTTATTCACAAAGGTGATTTCAAGGCTGGCTTCCATTTTAGAGGATTAAGCCTTCCCAGCCTGAAAGGGCATTGGATGTCGTCCTGTATAATTCTTAGAGAAGAAGGAATCTCATTTGTGGGGCTGACTTCAATAACTTAAATAATTAACCAACTGCTCCTTACTTCTGAGTCTGATTGCAAATGTTCATTCAGAATGAATGTAATGCAATAGCAAAGGAACACTTTTATATTGGTGCACTAGATCCAGACACTTGTGTTTTAGTATCATTCCCACATGAGTTATGCCTTCTCCCCAATTCCTCACATGGGGATTCCTGGAGAACAATCCTCTTGCTAACTTTTAAGCAGGACATCTGGTGACTTTTAAGGAGAGCTGCAGCGCTCTTTTTTATCCACCTTATCACAGATTATACTGTATAAAATCGAAAATAAAATTAATTAAGCATTAAAGTAAATCTACAGAGTGAAACAAATCTTAGACTTCAGAAATGAAATGTCCTAACTTAATCATTTTAAAACATAGATGACAAGTTTTAACATTAAATAAACTTAAATAAAATATCTACACTTTCTAAACTGTTAAAAACCCTAAATATAGTTCAACTCCCTCCACTTTTTCCTTCAATTTTTACATCGAATTCTGAAACGGAAACACACAATTGTATGAATATATTAGATTAATTAATGAGTGTAACTGTTTTTATGTGACTATCCCTCTGATTGGGAGTGAACCCAGAAATGCTTTATCACCTGTTTACAGGTGTTTTAATTGGGAATTATTTTTAGTGTACAGTATGTTGTATGAGGCTTTATCAGGAGCATGTCTGCCATGTAAATTAAACACCATCTGTAAGTCAGAAGAAGAGAGTGGAAGAAGAGATTGAAAACACATTGTGCAAGCGAGTAGGCTAGAAACAGGACTTCTCTACATAGGTAAGTGGAAATGGCCAATGGCTTTACCTCCTATGAACTTTTATTAAAACACCAGAACTGAAACCCAAGCACCATGAACTCAACCATGACTAGATTAATGTCAATCCATTGTGACTGACCATTTCTGTTAGCACTAATTTTAATACCCCTAATATTCAGTGAATCAATGAGAATTTTACTCAAATGTAAAATCCATTGGTCAGTAGAACAAAAAATTAAAAAAAAAAGATATGATGATACAAAAAAATTACCTTTTGAACAACCTCAGTAAAGGAAAACTGGATTACAGAATAAAAGGCATTGTGTCATGGCTTTGATGTTTTTTTAAATGAACACCTCACATTCCAATATTAAAGGATAAAAACACAAATGCTTTATGTTACGTTATTCAAACCAGCATTTTTGATTATTAAGTGTTCTTGCTATCAATTCTTCTTTCACTGATCATTTTGAAAGGGCTGCATAACAACATTTACGTTCCTTCTTTACTCAATGTTTCCCACTTTCTGCACCATTATCCTCAGGAAAGAGACCCCTAGTGATATGTGGATGATTATCCTTCAAAGAAATCACTATTCTTGTCCTCTCCAGTTCTCGGTAGAAGCTCATGGAAAATTGTACAAATGATCGGGCAAGGTTTGTAGTATTCACTTATTTTGCCAAAGTAGTGAACAGTGTCCTTCATTTTCTGGTTTCTTTACATCACTTAATCTCAAATTCTATGTTTTTGTAACAATTAGCCTCCAATAGTGACATCAACTGATGCATTTTTAACATCTGTTTCAGTAACAGAAACTTTTTAAGGCAGAAAGTGTTTATCACTGATATTATATTAAAAATGAGGCCACCTTCTCACACTCTGTGCATTTTGGAATGGTATATCTCACAGAGCATCAGGGGAAGATATTTCACTAGCCGGTTGCTCACTGTGCATCATGTTGTTTGTGGAGGACTTTTGCACTGAGGAAATAAAACAGGTATTTAAAGCTCCTCTTCTAGTTTGCTGAAGGTAAGGGCTTTCAGTTACAATACTTGAATTCTTCGCTGACTGTCTTTTTCATCTGTGTGTTGTACATGACCGCTTGAGCCACTGAGCGTTTTTTCATGGCATTACTGTTATCCACTGGTAATGTAATGAAATAACTTCACTGTTGTCATTTATAAAGTGACTACCATTACCATTTTAGAATTAGGTTTGGATATTTTTAATTTGTAAAATAAGGTTAAAGCTGTAAAAGACACAAACATCTCAGTCTCTCCTGTAGATAATCACATTAACATCAATGAGGGGGGGGTGTTCTACCCTGTCTGGGTATCAGAAGGATGGTATGACCTTCAATAACAGGCTTTCTCCCGGTAACACTAGCATCTCCAGTGATCTCCAGAAATACAGTATGCTCCAGTTCCTCCTTGAGCATAGCAATCACTTCAGCAAGAATGAATTAAGCAAGTCTTTGGAGATCATGTTTACGCAGACAGTAACAAGAAACGTGACTCTGATTCCAACTAGGCGAGATATTTCTTCTTTGAATGAGAAGGAAGAACTTAAACTGTGCACTTTCACGCTGAATAACACTACGATTTAAATAATTAGATAATTCTTCATTAATTTGTAAATTATTAACCAGTAGTGACACAGAGGTCTACATTTAATTAGGGTTAAAGAACGTATTCACCAAAATCCACCAGATTTCATGGACAATTAATTCTGATGGCTAAAGTAGCAAATACTATACTCATTTTCAGACTGACATACAGTAATTACGTGTTCTGGCAGTAAAACTTGGGAGAATACAGCACCATCTCCTTCAGCACTTCCACTCCATGGAAACCTCTCTTTGGAGAAAAGGGGATTTGGGCTTTCATTATATCAGCTGCCAATTCTCTTGTCTGCTAGCATTCAACTGCATTTGGCAGCCAAGCACCTTAATTAATTTAATTTTCTTTTTTTTTCAAGAGCACAGTGACTAGCCACTTCACAAAGGAATGAAGGAATGACAAATAATTATATTGTGTAGAGAAACAAGAAGCCATGCTTTCTTGAGATTCAACTCTGCTGTGCTGTCCAGATTTTCTATCATTTGTAACAATGTATCAGTGTTAAATCTGATAATTTTCTGTTATGAGAATATGGATATTTTCTAAGAAGGTAAACTGTACTAATTACAGTGTACATTCATAAATAAACAGTGTAGGGATTTTTCTGCAAGGGCAGAGAGCAACTCAAGGAAAAATAAGAAATTAGAAGATTCTGCTGCATCGTGCATAAGAGGCAAAAAATCAGAAATAGGAGGTGGGCACTGATTCAGGTCAGAGTGAAGACAGTAGTCAGTACTATCCATCATGGCAGATGCATAACTTTCGGTGTGGTAAGGAAAACTAAAAGGTAAGTCACCACACAGAGCTGCATTACTGTTGTGCTCTTGTGACCGTCGCGGTTCCACGCGGGGTCGTGCCCCCCGCCGCCCGTTCCGTCCCCCACACCTGGGGCTCGAACCCGGGTCACCGGTGTAACGCAACAGGGAACCAACAGCGTGAGCTAAAGGAGACCTCCCTCAGCCCAGTCAGCTGAGGACCCTGCTACGCGCAGTGAGGGCGCTGACATCACCACACCAGCTCCGCTACACTCTCTTGCTGAACGAGTCACTTTTGATATTCTGGTTTTCTGATTCTCCTTTTCAAAATATAATTTATAATAATTCTGCAGAAAAGGTAAAGATGGGAGATGGGAGACCACCGAATAATAAAACTATCCTCAGTATAGTATACACTAACAATGTCTATTTCCACTTAGACCTTCATTTAGACTTCACAGAGAAACTATATTGTACACTTTCCAACTAAACAACAGCACAACCTATGTTTTCAACTCCACACTTTCATTTTAGACATTCCTCTCCACGATATTCCTCACAGGTCCTGTTTTGTGCATATTACTTACAAAAAATCCAAAAACAATCAGAGAAAAAAAAACTATCAGCCTTATCACTTAACTATCAACTATCACTTAGCATATTTATAATCAACAGCTCACCCAATGATTTTCCATTCCAATATAGAAATAAGGAACTTACCTCTTCTCTGAATGTTTTCACTTGCTCTTTACAGCCAGGTAGTCCCTGGATGAATTCGGTGACCTAATTAAAAATAATTACATATACAGTTTGCATGATTAGAAAATGCATGCTAACTGATGCAGCAGTATTTGCCGGTGGGTCATTCCATGTTAATTCAAGCAGAGCTTTCCACCACTAGATTTTGTTTATATTTTGTACAGTAGAAGATGGGAAAATAATGAAAAAACTAGGTCAAAGGTTTAAGCTCACCAATAAAGATCTGTGCAATATACAACTGGCTATGCGTACTACTGTACTCCGCATACATCTCCTTTTGAATCTGAACATTTAGATAAGTATTCAAATACTATTTAAGTTAAAAAACAAACTGTGGATTATTTTTTTCCACAAGGAAATTGAAAATGAAACCACAGTGATGACTGACACGGAAGTGGTCACATGTCATTTCCTACAGTATGTCTGTCATTGCCTAGTAAATTAAAACAGATTATTGTAAGAAATATGAACATCTACAAAATCACATAAAACAAAGAAATACAGTACCAGTGAGCACCCAGTTCTGGGGACTAAGTGTCTCCTATTATAGTACGCACTTCTGAAGATGCATAAACCTCCACAGGAAATCCCTCACACCTTCTGTTTGCAAAGTACAGGTATCTTTAAATATTTATGTTTGAAAATGTTCTTTACTGTACAGTATATATGTAAAGAGGTGGCCATAAAATAAGTAGGGCTAATTTATTAAAATCTGTTCATAAACTTCTAGTGTGGATCTGAATTTCTCACATTTCATTTTCATATTCGACAAACAACTCATGTATTGTCCTTTTATTAATATTACAAGAGCTGTGAATCCTTTAAGGTTTGTTATTTCAATTTTCCCAAACTATACAGAAATACTGAAGTGGTGCTAAACATTTCCACAGAAGATTTACCTGGCTATCTATGCTGAAGAATGCAGGCCTATAGAGTGACATTCTAAATATCATTTTTTTATCTACAAAATGACTACAAAATCACACTCATTTCGAGTATAGCTATATTCCTGCACGTACTCCTCACACTATCAAATCTTTAACACTGGGTTTAAATATTTGCCTTGTTCCAAAAGTGACCCAAGGCCTTTGCACTGTGGGAGGAATCCAGAGCACCCAGAGGAAACCCATGTGAAGATGAACATGAGAGAGCACACAGACTCCACACAGACAGCACCCCAGGTCTGGAATTAAACCCGGGGCCCCAGTGCTGCTAAACACTGGGCCACTGCGCCATCACTCTGTCTTCCACTACACAAAATACAAGCAAATTCTAAAATCTTGAGGTGCAGATTTTTCAGAATTTTTGCCGATTTGGCACAGAATGACCACCGTATGCCAGAAAATGAAAACTGTGAACACAATAAAACAAACATTGAAATGTGTTTCATAATTCAACGTACAAAATACGTTTCTTGTGAATGAAAATGTCATGTGAATAAAAATCACCTGCACTGACAGAATCCTACAGTATAACCCAGAAGTGATAAAATGATGAAAATATTCAGTTTTAATGTGTGGTTAATGATAAATTACTGACATGTTGGTATTACAAACATATAACTTACATGTTGGTTTTTAACTCAAACTGTTTCCATAAAAACGGTATTTCAGACATTGCATTTAAATATATGATAGTTATATGTACATACAGATAACGACGTAAATGTTGTAAATAAATTAGAAAAAAATACGTATTTAATTCAAATAAAGAACACAATGGTAAACGGTAACAGTTTGTTTTCATAACAATAGATGTGCAAAAGACCACCTTGTCAAAAAGAACGTAGGAACGTGAAATAAAGTACCTCTTCAACAGTCCACCCAGCCACTTTACTGGCGGTTATTCCTGCCACACTGGGCAGCAGCTTGCTGTGCTGTTCCCAGCACAGGGGCAGGCTGGGGATGGGTGATGTGGAGGGCATGAACACAGACTGATGTAGAGCCTGCTGCAGGGTGAGCTCTTCACTTTCTGGAAAAACCAAACATACAGACCATTTATTGTTCCAATACAAAACAATATCTCACAAGACAACCGGTTTCCTTTCAGCTCTGGTAAAAACAACACTAAAGTTAAAGTTATCTTCAATGACAAGATCAGTGTTCAATCGGATACAAGATCTGAAAACTCTGTATGTGGCAAAACTTTTAGCTGCCAACTGTTTTTGCTTCCCTAAGAAGAAAAAAGATTTAATCAAGATAATAGCTCCAATCAAAGGGCTTAAACAACCAAATTAATTAAAACTGCAGTTGAAATGAAAAGAAGACACAGCGTGTTGAAGCCCAGAATTGAGAAATTATGGATGCTACAGTACAATTTATTTGAACGACCTATTTAAGTACTTGCATACCTCCCTTCTACCCTGAAGGCAGGAGAGATTTAAAACCGTGAGTGTCATACCTTTGAAACAAAAAAATATTCTTTGGTCATTGTACGAGAATTACCTATGACACTAATATGTACTTTGAAGTAGTTCAGGTGGGTAGCTGCGTCAGCATGCGTAGGCTGCAAAGGAACAAGAAAAGGTTAATTCCATGTTGAAAAGAGAAGAAGAGCTTCTTTCTTCTCGTTTCAGCATGGAATAAACCTATTACTTGCTCCTAAATTAAAGTAATCTGAGGCCCCATATACTGCAATTCCAAGGCTATTGTCTTGTAGATCACCAGTGTAATGATTGCATTCCTTACATTGGCAAATGTAATGGCTTCATATGAATATACAGAATGAATAATAGTTAATGTCCCCTGATCAGCTCATGGGACTGAAGACTGTCTAGACTATGTTATGATTAAGATGGTAAACTTTGTGCTTCTGTGTTTGTTTACTGCATGGTGAACCTCAAGTGAATCAGCATGAATATAACTTTAGAAAGGAAAGGGGGTAAGAGGACTAGCTTGTGGAGGAGACAGACGTTAAATCAGTGGGAAATTGCAGACACAGCAGTAGTGGTCACTTTGACACAGACACCAGTGACTGTGGAGCAAATATGTACTTTGCAAGTTATACATTGTGGAATTGGGTTTATTGTAATAAAAGGAAGAAGATCCAGGTTTGTTGTATTGAAATTGGAAGTGGAACTAGACTTAAAAAGTGGAGAAAGAGCAAAGGGAACTATCTTTTGCAATTACTATAATCTATAATCTATAGTGTCAATGAGAAACACTAGTATAAATGAAATCATGAAGTCTATATAGAGCCAACAGAATGCTTCAAGAGGAAGCAAAGATAGAAGAGACAGGATTGAACCAAACAGTGTCCACAAAAACTTCATCCCCCCAATTTTCAATAACTGCTTAGTCCAGCAGAAGATTGAGATGAGAAGGAGCCTAAACTGGCAGAGTGTAAGGCAGGATACACCATGGACAGGATGCCAGTCCTTCGCAAGTCAAACATACTGTACAAACCTATGCACTCACATATACACCAATACAGTACTGTAAGGTGACAACGTAGAGATGACAATTAACCTAGACCCGATGTCTGTGGACTGTGGAAGGAAAGAGGAGTACCTTGTGGATTTCCAAAAGACTATGGGGAAGACATGCAAGTTTAACCTGAGTATCCAAATCCCATATCATATTTTACTGTACATCTAATTGGGGCAAACTATTTCAATCATGTTCACTGGATGCATTCATAGGGAACTGGAGGTAGTGTGTATGAAACACTTCAGATTTGTCCATTTCTGAGTATGTGTGGTGGTCTTTTTATAGTCTCACTGCTATGCTTGCTTTCATAATGTCAATTTCAGAATGTTTTTAACCTGTACACTGTTTTCATTGCTACAAAACCCAAATGATGTCTAATGCTACACCTTTACCACACATTTAACACAGATGATGTCTGCATTAAATCCTAGACTACTCAGCACCAGCATCTCAGGGTGAATACTTAAAGGTATATAGGGAAAATAGTTTGGAAATATGATACGGGCAGATAACATTTGACATCTGGTGGAAGGATGTGCCAGCTATATCTGAGAACCTGCAATCAGATGAGAAATGTCAGGGTTGACGGAACAAGGTGGTGATGTTGCCTGCAGCAAAATACTGCATCCAGCTTTCAGACTGAAAAAATGAACCCTGCCATAATAACTCTAAAATGTTGTCCTTATAATAAATGTTTTGAAATAATTTAATATGCTTCTATAAGATATATAATATCACAAATTAGAGTGGAAGAATACAGATCAGTTGTAGTTGTTTTTCTGTTGAACTAACTCCCACAGGAGTGACCTATTTTTATATATTTCTGTAAACAGACTGCATTTTTGTAATTGTAAACGAATTCCCTTTTGTCAACACCTTCAGGACAAACGTCTACTACAGAGAAAATAAATTCGCTGCGAGGATTATTAGCATACTATCTTTTCTTTAAAAAGACAGACACATTTATTCATTGAATGCAGAAAGCCTGACATAGATCAGCTCAACTTCATAGCAATATTGAAAAACAACATGGAGCATGAACACCTTCTAAAAATCTTTGCTCCTTGTCTTCATTTTATCAGACCTTCAAATAAAAACAGTCATCTCTATTCTATCAGCAATGCTGTAGAATTTGTCAAAGCAAGCAGAAAAAAGCTATACAGAGACAACACTCAGACAAGCACTTATTCTAAGATCCCCAATCCTGATTCAGGAGGGCTGGGTTGTCTTTATGTTTCCTGGGTCTCTTTCAAGCACAAGCAGCTGAAGAGGTGGGAGAAAATGTTTAACTGATCCAAATTAGCCAATAATGAGCTTCTTCAGAGCACTATGAGTCCAACCTGTCTTAAAATCCTGTAGACACCTCTGTTTTCAAGGTTTTGTATAAGTTATAGTGTTAAACAACATTAGTGTTTATTTTTTCAGTATGTTAAATCATGATCAGACTTGAAGAAGCTTGTTCACTCTCATGTCCTCTCCCCCATGCAATAATCCTTGCAGTTCCTTAATATTTTAGGCATTAATATTCTCCATATTGGGGACTGCAAGTCAAATGAAATCATTTCAGGAAAAAAAAAACATATAAAGAATAGGCCAAGGCTAACAAGCACAAGCACTCTACGTAGATATTCTGTTACAGTACATAGCACACACAGTTTTGAACCATGTGTTTTCTAGTCACTTAAAAGTGGTAATATAGCTCAGGTGATAAAACACTGCGTGGAACCTACTGTGCTATTAGAAACAATCAAAACTAAAATGTTTTTCCTGTCTGTGCTGGATGAACCAATTATTTCTGTACCACAAAGAAAAAGGTGGGAGAACAGGTATTTTGATGACTGTCAGTGACATTTTTTTTATTTTAAAGACATCAGGTTCTAGTAAACATGGCAGTGGCAGACTGTGTGGTATCTAAAGTAAAGAAAAATAAGCTCAACAGTTTTAACATTTGGCTCTTTTTGATTCAGAAGGTAATCTCTGGGGCACTTTTTTGTGTTATGGCAGAAAAGTTTTTTTTAAAATCACTTACCAAGAGTTCTACACAATATTCTAGAAAAAGGGAATGGAGGTTTCTTGTGTAATTAGGTTAATATATTCTTGGCAAATAGCAGATCAGTTGTTATTAGTCACAGAGATGAATGTGGTTTAAGGCACCGTGCAGAAGAACAGATAAGGCAGCAAGTCAGGTGGAAAACATATGGAGGAAATAAGAGAAAAGGGTCTTTATGTCTTCCCTTCCGGGTGCAGCTATCAAAGAGAAAAAACAGCAGGGCCATTTGTTTCGTGAATAAGTGATTGTTAGGAGCTGTGTGAGAGAAAATGTTTAGACAAACAGGGAAGGTAGTGCTTTAAATGGCTAATGTCATTTTATGTACTACCAAGGCAGTACAAATATTCAGAACACCAAGAGAAAAGAGCAAAATGAAACTGAAATGCAAGGGTAATTGCCTCGACACACGTGAAGACAAGCTGGAGGCTGCTTAATGAACAACTTATTACCAGTGATTGGCGTACTAATTTCAGATAAAGATGAGAAAATTGCTGAACAGATGAGAAAAACAATAGGCGGCAAATGCAATCATGGTTCCCTGATTGTGAGCGATCATCTATTAAACACGTGATGGTTCTCTCAGCATTTGCAGTATTGCATGTGGTTTTATCTATAGGCTACAAAGGAAAGTCTTCCAGTGTTACCCCATCTAATCATAATAATAATTATACCTTATATATAGCAATTTTCTGGATATTCCACTATTACACAAGTATTGGGGACTCCTCTCCACCACCAGTTTGCAGTCTCACCTGGATGATGCAACAGCAGCCATAGTGCACCAGTATGCTCCCCATACACCAGATCAGATAATTGGATTATTAGGAGGCCATGACTGGTAAAGGCCAATGCAAAGTTTGGCTAGGATGCTGGGGGTAACACCTCTTCTCTTTTTTACATCTTATCTGAAGGACGGCACCTTTTTACAGTATAGCGTCCCCGTCACTATACTGAGGCATTAGGACTCACCGCAGGGTGAGCGCCGCCCACTGGCCTCACTAACACCACCAACTAAAAAACCTTAGTTTTCCCCAGGAGGTCTCCCATTCACGTACTGACCAGACTCACACCTGCTGAGCTTCAGTGGGTAGTCAGTTGTGAGCTGCACACATCTGGACCTGGCTTCAACATCTGCAATATGAGCCATATTTTAATACAGTTGTGTTGTTCAAATTACTGTTATTCTGGGATCACATCCACATTCCTATGCCCTGCGCCTCGTCCTGTTAAACTATCATGCCCAGTCTGTCAATTTGGCCACAACCACCTCCATCACTTCACTTACAAATCTCGCTCCATCCTTCCCCTCTATGAAAGACAGAAAATGATATGCAATCATGGACCGTGAATGTCAAGGAAATAAAGGACACATGGCCTCATGCCACTTGGGCATGTCTATTGTTCCATTGTTGAAACTGGGAGCCCACCTTTGGTCTCAGTGATGGATGACTCTTCACTCTCTATCTCCTCCTCCTCCAGCTCCTCTTCTACCTTTCGTTGCTTACACGGGCGTCCGACTCTGAAAGACATTTTCATAAAAACATCAGATGGCTTGACTCACACATTTAATAACAAATCAGAAATAAAAATAACATGGAATAATTGTAAGCAATATGGCGAGACGTGCTCTCTGTTTATGTTTAGCCCACTGACATTCCTATTCCTACCAGGATTGAACTGCGCCCAATATTTAACCTTTCTTTCACATTCAGTGGGCTGTTTTATTAAACTCGAAGACATGACAAAATCTGATATTTCACAACATATGTAGCTGTGAAATTAAGATACTGTACAAATTTTAGAGAATACTATAATAAATTACTGTGAGCATAAATTCTTTATACTCAAACCAGTGCATCCAGTTCAAAACCAGTCTTTACTCTTCATTATGCCAATCGTTTTCCCATAACTGAATTACAGCTCCTCCCAGTCTGAAAGCACTGGTGGTATGTTTCTTGTGTCCCAGCTCACTGCTACGAGCCCTGAAGCAGAAGGGAAAGCACAGGCAGATTCCTCGGACTGTCCACCTTCAAGTCACTCATCCTTCGATACAGTACATCACGGGCTGTGAAGTGCTGTACAGGAGGTTCAGCGCTGGCTGGAAGAAAAGCCGTTCCTTATTGATAGAATCCCAAGCCTGCAGATGCCCAGGGGGCCGCGATGGTCACTGAGTCATTGGGGGCAGACAGGTGTGACCAACTAATTGGCAGCAAAGGAGGAACCCCAGGCACCGGCAACTACCGACGTGACTCAGGTTCGAGCACACAATGCCTGGATCATAGTGCTAACGTGAAGCACTTTTACAGACTGGATCACTCCCCTCGCTCTGCTCTGGTAAGGGTCACAGCAACCTTGACGTATGGCAAATCACAATGAGAAAAAAGCTTTTGCTTCAAGAAAAGAGATCAAACTCAATGATCGTGCTTTTTACACGGAAGGATATTCTAGGAGAGAAACAGCAGGAAAAGTCATTGTAAAACAGAGTATATACTCTGGAATACTTCATAATCTAATTCCAAGGCCCAAGGCCCAAGGCCCAAGGCTAATTGTTTAAGAAAAAAAAAACAATCCTTGTAATTATTTCACTTCAACATCAAATCTCTCTATATCAAAGGAAATATTACACCCTAATGATATTGAGGAGCATCTTGAAACTTTGAAGAAATGGGGAACACATCAAAGACATGTAGATTGGGCACCAACATATAAGACAATATGTTACTGGGGCTGCACAAAAGTTTGTCATAATATTGTATCTACTATATAATGCAAAGTGGTAAATTGAAAGTAAATTTGCAATCTCTCTAAATAGTTAAAGCTAAAAGATCAGCCATAAAAATAATTAACTGTTCAGTGGAATGAAAGACTAAACTGTGTACAGTATAATTGTGATTGCTAATCACACTATCACTGTGAAATTGTGATGGAAAAGTTTCCTGTAAAATGAAATCAAAATTTTTTTCTTCCTTTTTCTATTCACTGTGCCACTTTGTAGCATGATATATAATAATCTCTCTTAAAATATATATGAAACATCCAATCAATAGTTCCTATGTTCTCGTAGATTTCCTCCGGGTTTCTTCTGGGTGCTCCGGTTTCCTCCCGCAGTCCGAAGACATACTGGCAAGTTAATTGGCTTCTAAGAAAACTAGAGCTGGTGTGAGTGTGTGTGTCTGTGTGTGCCTTGTGATGGACTGGTGGCCAGTCCAGTGTGTTTCCTGCCTTGCATACATAATGTTGCTAACCAGGATAGACTCTGGCTACCTTTTGACATTGCATTAGATAACATAGTTGCAAAACTAGTTGCAGAAGGACTGATGACTCTGGTAGAATCCATTGAAACTGATGTATAAAACATCTTATTGCTATCTTAAAGATATTAACTTTTCTGTAAACCAGAACATAAGTATACATAATGTTTCACAACAGAGTGAAGCGGCAAAAATATATATTTTTTTGTCCATAAAACCAGCATGAATGTACCTCTGTTTCTAATTTGTTATCAAACCTAATGAACTTCCTTCACCACAGATATGCTGTTTTTGCCATTTCTCTCTGTGGGTGATACTTCTGACACAACAAGAATTATCATCTACAGTGTTCGTGCCTCAAAATAATCATCTTATTCAGGAACTGGTAATCAGACAAAAAAAAGACTCAGCAAAACAAATTACAGCTGTGTTGTAGCTATGTAAAAAAGATTCAATTTTGATGTAAAAGGGCAGGGCCTTTAAAAGGATGTCATTATTTTAGTTTGATTTTTTCCTGTTAGTATACTAACTTAGTACAATAATGCTGATGCAAAGATCATGTGTATTTATGATACTTAAACTGCACTACACAAAAATAGGATGATCACTTACTGCAAACCATTATTAAAAGTATTTTGATTTTGTAAGCATAGTCTAGAATCTAAAATTAGATATGAATCTCAGTCGTCTTTTGCACAAAACAAAAATATGATATCTAGTTATAAATAACAGTAATATGTATGCTATTTATATTATTTAAATAAATCTACAATATAAAACACACAAATTAAAATGTCTGATGAAGATAAAACTAATAATGAATTCTAGCTCTCGTGTAGCAGTACATTATGATCTAAGCAGCCATCACAAGACAAAAGACTTAAAGCAGTACATTTAGCAAATATTTACCTTACAAAGTTTAGAATTATGATAGCTCTACATTATCACATTAACCTAAGAGGGCACTTTATCTATTTATGTTGCTTATATAAACACCCTTGAAAAGATTAGTTCATTAGCCATTTCCTCCCTTTGGCTTTGTGATAATGTGAAGGCAAAAAAGCTTTGAGCACTGATTACTTAAATATAGGAAAACCCATTCACAATGACAGAACACAGTAATTGCTAGGAGCTTTTGCTTTTAATTCTAGGCTAAATATCATCAACCTAAGACGTTCTAGTTTCTTGTGACTGTACATACTGTATGAGGTTTCTGAGAACTATTTTAAGGAAATGGATCACAATTCTCCAAAAGATCCAATTACTTTGATTCACAAATCTGTTGTTTCATATAAAGATAGATATATGAGTCATTATATACAGTAGTAGCTTCACAACACACAAACAATACACACAGCCATACCAGAATATTACAGAACAGTACGTTCTGTAAGCGTAACAATCCAAACAGTCCAAAGCAGTCCAGTGAAGGAGTGGTTCCCAGAACACCAGACCCTTAGCCACAGTGCCAGTGCTGCTGCAGGTGAACAGACCTGGACCTTTTCGGTAAACCATCTAATTGTTCGGCAGGGCAGTATAATATACAAGACAAGAAATATTGGGATAAAAGCACTGGGAAAGCTGCAACTTGCCAAAAGTTAAGTACCAACCCTAAACCAAGATTTCTATCAGATTACACTAATCCAGAACACAAAGCCCATACAGTGTTCAGAACAGCCAACCTGCTATGCTTCTTTCCTTTGCTAAGGAAGAAAGCAGACTTCTTGTGCGAGGAGTCCTCGTTTGCTTCCTGGGCACCCAGTGTCTCTGTTCCACATGTCTTGCTGTGGTTGTTTTGGTTTGAGCCAAACTGTTTTCTGAGGAATGAGAAAAGACAAGCAGAAAAAAAAGTGTTTTAGTAGTAGTGAATTAACTACTGTAAGTTTTGAATAAAAAAACACCCTGAGGAATGTCATATTTTCTTTACTTCCATCTCATTAAAAGGGCATCACATTGTAGAGCGTGTATATTTTACAAAGCAACAAGTAATAGGTTTATTTCATGCTGAAAAGAGAAGAGAAAAAACACGTTTCAGCTGAGAAGCCTTCTTCAGGGGTCATGTGTGTCATGTATTTTTTACATTTTAACTTGAGCTGTTAAAGGAATATTGCTTTACTAAACTTAGAAGAAAAGTCCAAATCGTTCTTACTCTACTACAGACGATGCTGTGTCACAGATTGATTCTCCTTTGCTGTTCTTTGCCATACTCAGGCTTGATACAGGTATTTCTCCACTGAGACGGTCTGGAAGAACCGAGTCCTTGTTGATATTGATATCAGAATATGGGCACCCTACAGCACTGGAAAGATAAAATCACAAAACACTATGAAGTAGAGTTACTGTAATTTAATCCTATACTGTGGTGATGAGAGATTACGTTTTATAAAAAGTAAAAAATAAAATCTTTCCAGGGATCAAAACACAATGTGGAAATGGAGTATCATAAGACATACTGTTCAAACAATTAAAACCAAACAACAGGTTTTACGGCAACAATACAATTATAAAACATATACAGTATTTGTATATGCCTTAAGAGGCCCTCATGCTCATTTAATAGCTGAAACAATAGAACTGCATTAAAGTCATAAGAAATGCTACAAATGGGAGCAGGAAGGAATCAATTCAGTAGTTAGCAGTTAATTTGTCCAGGGACCTCCTCCAAGCATGTCCTGAAAGAAGTCAGAGCATTGGCTTCCACAACACGGCTGGGTAGCTTGTTCCATTAGCTCACAACCCTCTAGGAGTGTGATACACACTACTCCTTCTGCTAGAATAAAAGATCTGTTCCTAAAGAATGGTGCTGTAACAATCCCTGTTGCTGATGCCATACTTATGGGATTGTGCTGCATATCTGAAAAGAACCAACAACAAAGACATAACGCTGGCAAGTGATGATGGCGGAGAATGCTTTAAGTTTTTGATTTACCACATGCATGCTCTACAAAAGACTTACAGTACATGCAGCAATGATAGTCTGGGTTGTGAAGGCTGCTTGCTTTTCTCTATATAATTGTGCATTTCTCTTCCTGATTTTTTTTTTGTCTGAAACACTTACCCATGGCAAAAGCATTTCGCATGGCTGAAAATGAACCTGATTTTTCACAAATTTAACCACATAACTGTAATGCTACAGTGTATGATTTTGTTCCAAAGGAATGGCACTGCAAACAATCCCTGATAAATGTAATACATCTGATAAATGTGATTTATCAGAAAGGTAAACGATAAAGATAAGAAGTGACAGGCATAATGTATATTCTGCCATGCGAGAAGGTGGTAGGTTCAGATAAGATGGACACTCTTGTCTGAACTACATTCCCCAGAAGGCTATAGGAAATGACCTGCCATCCTCTGTCACCTGACAGGTTGGTGTAAGAAAACTGGTTGGGTGACAATTTAAAAACTAGGAAGCAAGGACCAGTCATTATCTGTTGTCTCTGTTATGCCTGTTTTATGGGTGGATGGGAAAACATAGTCTCCTTGTGAACTACTGAACTCTCCAGTATCATAGTTAAAAATCTTACATTAGGTCGATTAAAACACTAAGAGAAAATCTGATTAGGTTGGTTACTGTGAGTTATGTGAATGAGACAAGAGAATAGAGAGACATGGTGGCTATCTTGCAAACGAAATATTATGAAAGCATGTAACTAAATTTAAAAACAAATCCTGAATTTATACAGTATGTATGTTTTCATAAAGTGTAAATTCTTACAGAGTATTATTTTCATGAAAAGGGACTGTAGAAGAGGATTTGATCAGACACATTTCCCCACAAAATCTGTGGCGTCCCCCAGGAATAATGTTTTGAAAACATGAACTTTCCAGCTTGATTACAGCACAATGCATAACCTACTTACTTTTGTCCTTTGTTCCTAGTTAAACATTCAGTCATTTAATTTGCTTTTCGAACTCAAATAATTATATGTAATTCTTTTGCATTGACTCATTGTCAATCTATCCGAATAATGTGAATTGAATTTGGTGAGATACACCAAAGCTTTGGTGAGCTTCTGTACATTTTTGAGGTTGTAATATTAACACAGTAATCTAGAACGTCTTACGCAGTCAAAGTAAAAAACGAATGAATAAACTCAACCAGATTAAGAAATCAAATAAACTGCAGCTGGAGTGGATGGCGGTATTGAGCTCTGCAATACCACCTCTAATACATGCATGCCATGCGATACTACAGGGGGAGCTTTGACATAAAGTACAAACAGTATGAAAATGCTTCTCCTTGCAGAAACACGTTTCACCAACAATATGACCAGTTGATGGCAAAAATCATTGTTCATGGTATTACTGTATATTTGTTTGCAGCCAATAATGAGCCAAGGGATCTAAGGCTGGTAGGATTGTTCCAAAGTCCTGCAAACCAGCGTCCACCGATCCATTTTCTGAGAGCTTTCTCTAATTCAGAGTCGTGGGGGAGCAGGAGCCTATCCAGTCCATTGCAGAGCACACACAGAGACAGAAACGTTCACACTCACAGCAGGGCCAATTTTCCAAGTAAGCCAATTAACCTGTCTGTGGGCTGTGAGAGGAAACCAGAGCACCCAGAGGGAGAAGATACAAAACGAACCGCTGTGCCACCATGCTGCCCGTCCTACAAACCACTGTGAAAATAAAGATGTCTCCTCTTTTCAGTTTGTGGTTGGTTTGTGCTTCACAGATTCTGGAGAAGTCGGTTAGGTTTGGGATTGAGATCACAGTGTGCTTTTCACTAAAAAACCTCACCTATAGCTTCCCCGCCATCACACACATTTAATGAAATTTCAGTCATCTGATTTCAAAACAAAAAATAATGCAAATCTCACTTAAGATAATCTGTGGATACCTGTGATGGCCAGAATATCTTGCCCCTTTAATGTGTCCTACACCTTTACAGCCTGGGGTAGGACAGCCCCCCTGTTCTGAGGACTCAAACATGTCCTGTGGGCCTACAGGATCAGGAGAAAGAAACATTGTTAATTATACTCCAACAAAACACTATGAAATAAGAAAGGATTATTTGTCCCTTGAAATTTGGATTGAAGATGTCCACAAATAAGTTAATTATAGGTTCATCGTTGAACATGTGTTTATCAGAATACAAAAATAAAACATTATACTTGTTTTTGGAAATGCTGATTTTCTTTATTCTGCTAAGGAAAACAAATTGGCTGACTTCCAGATACACGTATAAAGCAAGGTGACTACTAAAGAATACTAAATGTCAAACAAACTGCATCCTTAATCCATAAGTACATTTTGGCCTGGACATAAAACAGATAAAATCACAGAAAGCAATGCCTTGGGAAGCTTTTTTTAGCGTAAAAGATGAAAATCAAATAAATGGAGCAGATTAATTTATAGTCATCTAAGATGCTAAAGGAAAAATGCATTTGTTAACTGAAAGCTCTTGTGGTGGCCCTAATAAATTATGCTCAGTTTACATATCAATCAGTTTTGGAAGCACAGTTTTTTACAAACGCATGTTCAAATAAATCTCTAAAAATGTATTCTAGAACACATCATGTGAAAAACTGAGCCTTGTATTATGACACTGCACTTCTATTCCCAGGCTAGGTCTGGACAGTTAACAATCAAAGAGTAAAACCGACACGTTATTATAAGCTGATAGGAATATTTTGTGTAAGAAATATCGATAAAGAGAAACAATGATTTTCTGCAAATGTCATTACCATTTATTTGTAATCAGTTGTTGTTACTCCTTTTTACAATGTGTAAATCTGTATCCTATTACGTGATGGGAATCACTCATTAGTAGAATTTGATATTGTGCATATACTTTATACGTAACAAAAAACTGAAATAAGAAAAACAGTCAGAGCTTGTAGAAATATGCATCATACTTTATTTGAATGCTTAAAACACCAAATAAGGTTATGTACTTTTTTATCAAGTCACCATATGTCAATATTTACTGAAGAGAACAAGATCAGCTAATTATGTGTAAAAAAATAGAAATGTATTTAATAGTGCATCTTACACACATCCAGCAGTGAAGTTAAAAATATCTAAAAACACATTATTATTGAAGGATGTGATAAAAAAACTAATTTAACTAAAAAGGCAAAAATGACAGATATTTTGGGTGTTTTGTAGCTGAAGTGATGTAAATAATTGACCTGATAATTTAACTTGCTAACTGCACTTCTTTACTGTAAATAAGGAACATTAAAACTACAGTATACAGGGGTTTACATGATTGCTGTGTGTTCACACTACCTATAAACCATTTTGGGTCTTAGTACTTTATTTGTGCAGCCCTTGCATTGCATTTCCAGATTGTGTAAGCCTTTTTCTCATGTATTAATGTGCATGATTGTTAATTGAATGTACGCTTAATGTGAAATTCCTACATTGTAACCTGGATGAGGAGAGGTAAGAGGGTTCCTACCAAGCAAATAATAACAACACAGACTTTCTGTAAATCACCTTGCAATCCTCAAACTTGTGGCCTTTTAAATCCATTCCACATCAGAAACTTTATGACTCTCTTTAATGCAATGAGCTCCTTGGTTCTTTACTCAATCAGCAGGATCAAACTAACAACTGAGGATCTGGTTGCACTAAAGTATTCTTTAGTATGGAACGGATTGAAAGGGGAGTTGCTGTAATACTCTAAATCCATGGTTTAGCTGGAGCTTTACTGTGAACTGTTTTGAGGATTTTGGTCATAGTTCAAGATGTCTTTTAAACTTATTTCAGAAAATCAAACAGTTCAGCAATTATAATACAAGTATAATCTGTTACACCAGAACTGAACACATTACCACATTTGTGTAGTGCAAATAAAACTGCTGAAATTACTCACTGATAGGTGGCTGAAGAGGGTGGATAGTCTTCGCACACCAGCCAGCAGGATGGATTTCAGGGCTGTCAGTGTCTACCCAGTAATCATATTCATCACCCCAGCCATCAAAGTGGATCTGCACGGCAGCGAACAATACCATGTAGACCATCATGCACGATGTAAAGCAGGCCTATTCAGTTCAGGTCCTAGAGGGCTGTCATGACCGTAGGTTTTAATTCCAACTCAGCTCTGAACAAACTAAATCAGCTACAGTAGCTACAGGCCTAAAAGGACACATTGGGCAGCTTCTTCCAACTCATCCGTTACTGTTGTTTTATAAAAACAGAAGACCTATAGACATGAGCCCTCCAAGGTGTGAAACCTTTCTGAATCATAGAAAATAACATCACAATAAAAATGGATTTGACATCATGACCTGTCTGGAGGATTCTGGTGAGCAGATAAGCAAGTCTTTGTCCGAGTGAGTTGAGTATTGCACAATATGAATAGCTAGAGCAAAAGACTGACATCAGAATGACATCCCATTTCCTGGGATTTAATGGCTCAAAATGCTTCAGATTAAATTCAGATCACAGGTGAATATTTATTTTAAAAATTATGTTTAAATGAAACCAAACAATGGAAACCCAAAATATAAACATCTCTAAAGAACACTGTACTGGTTAATGGATTTCTTTGTTTTTTATAAATGTACAACAAGCATTTTTTAATAAATTATTTAGTACATAAGATTAATATTTAATAATAAACACAAGACTCTGCTGTACACTTAGATTGATCCACAAGAGATATGGTGTGCATACACTGATTCAAGACATGCAAATGTTTGGCTGATTTCATCTACTATTAGCCTAGAATCATAAGGTACCCACTGAATAACTTCAATCTTCACTGGATGCCTCATTCTATATGCGATGATCATGATGATCAGTTGCAAGTTGTAGAACCATAGCCAAGTTCAATTTACCAAATATCAAGAGTATCGGTTTAGTGTTCGACTTTGAACTCACAATCGCAATTAGTGGCTCAGCCGGGATTCAACAACTGATATTTAGGTCCTACCAAACACTTCTCCCCCTTAAAACGTAAAATCTAAAACAGCCAGAAAATATTATGTTATGCATACCAGCAAGCAGTAAATCTATAGGGCACTTTTTGACAAAATAATTTATTTTTATTCAGGAAGTGAATAAAATAAGTAATTTAAAAAAAATAGAAAGAATGTCACCACATTTTTCTGCTGTGGAAGCCATATTAAAACCATTTAGTGTAAAATTCACAAATGAATGTGAATTCAAAGTTTCATGTGTTTGCTTCATATTGACTGAGAAAGTAATTAGTTTCTCTTCCATTGTGCACACACAACAGGGGAATGAATATGTGATCCCCTTGAAAGTTAACCTGCCTTTCAGAACCATGTTTTCTTATATGTTTGTTGCACTTAGCACAACTCCTAGGGAAAGACAAGCTAACCAGCACATAAAGTGGTTCTGTTTCATATTTCACTGTGATTTAGCTGTAAGTGTTATGAAGGGAAATGGCAGTGAAGATGCTGAAATGTCAGAACTAAGAGATTTTAAAGGGGATTAGAAGAAGGTAATCAGGCTGAAAGAAATGTAAGATACATAAAATTAACAGAAATTCAAGTCAGCTTGACAGATACAGATCTAGCCATTCAGAATACATGGCAAATAATGCAACAGAATGGGTATACTGTACACACCACACTGCACTTTTGTAAAGATATTCACTTGCAGGACTGCACTACTTTGTAAAACCACCAGGTTGCACAAAGAATGCTTAATGTGGCGTTTGGGAGCATTTAAAAGCACCAAATTTCTAATGCTGAGCTCCTTAGGGACAATTTTTTTTTCAATTCTATAATTTTAATTGTATACTGTTTAGACTTTTATTAGTGTTATACTGTATATTACTGTATGTTAAATATTAAATTAATTTTAAAAGAAAGTAGGGCTTTTCTACTGAAAAAAAAACTTGTAAACGTGATGTGCTTCTTTCAAGTTTACATCTGCATTTAAATTATCTATATTTTGTCCTAATGCAAATTTCAGCAACAAGTAATAAGGAAAGAATTTTAATTTATATTTTAATTATAAAAATAAATTGCACACATACTGTACTGTAGTGTTTTATAAAACTATACGGTATCAAACTGTATTTACAGTATATTTATACAGTGTACCGATCACACTGCAGTTTACTGACATGTACGCTAATGTTTTGGGACAATCTGTGGATATGACATCACGTGAACTCTTGTTGTGAATGCAATGGGATTTTTTTTTCAGTTTTACAACCACATTAAAACAATCTAGATTTTGTCTTAATGCTGATTCCAGCAGCAGGTAATTAGGAAAGTATTTCACTTTAGATTTTTATTATGAAAAATACATTTCATACATACTGTGCTGTAGTGCCTTTGGCAGCAGAGAACAGAGCTCTGAGGAATGTCCACAGGTCCCCCATACATCACTCTCTATAAAAATCCTGAAATTGTCTTTCAGTTTGGCACATGTGTACCTATACTGCTCCATACAGGGATGAAATTAAAGCACAATATGATCTGAGGGTTTCTAGCTATGATCTCGTTTATAAAGAGTGCAGCTCTGCTGTTTCACTGGCGGGATTTTCTCTGGTTTGACCTCACCAACCTTCACAGAAGTACTGTGATATCTAAGACATCTTTGTGGCTGAAGCCCTGTTTTGATATTCTGCAATGCATCTCTTGCAGATTTGTTTTCATCCGCGTTTTATTGCTACTGTGCATCTCCTGAGCATAGGCAAGGACATTTCAGCCTTGCCAGGTTTCAGCTCACGTATTTACCGTGGGGTGTTCAGTGCACGTGATGTGATTTCTGAAGACCATGAAGGGTAGAGCTGGATTTTCTGAGCTCTACATATAATCATTGTCACAAAGGAGACGAGGCCAGATTAAGAAGACCGCGGTAAATGGAGAACAGGGTGTTAATTTAAGGGATAATTAGGATTAGGAGAGATGGTGAATTCTGAGATTGAGGATAAAGGCAGAGAGAGCGGTGAGCAGAGACTAAAAAAGATACAATATGGCATGTGCTGAAATTAGTGGCCCCTGTGGACTCTTTGAGAAGCCAGAAAATTAATTATATTTAAAAAATCAATGCTGTTAAAAGTAAACATGAAAACCTAAGAAGTAAATATTAACCTTCAATTAATATTTACTTTTTAAATTGCAAGTTTAATATATTTTGGAGTATCAGTACATTATTGACTGGTTCTGTGTTTCACATACGCAATATACTTTCACATACATTTCTGTGACACTAGCAGGTTTGGACATAATACAAGCTGCTGGCAATTCAAGAAAAAGAATGTACAATAAGCCGAAAAGCTTACCTTAATTCTGTGATCATCAGTGTCAACGATAGTAACTACTCTGATGAGCATAGGGTTCCTTTTGTCAACTGCTTCTAACTTCATATTTCTGTGGAATCCATGAGTGGGTCTCTAGAAAGAAAAGTCATAAGAAATCTTCACATTTTCATGCCAACAGTTTTCTGAGAAATTACTGGAGTACTTTAGATTAGTATTTTACAAAACATCTTTACCGATTTAAATGCCCTTGCAGGTGCTGGTAATGAATTGGTTTCTTCCAAATACCTTTCCCAGGAGAAATGTTTAGCATTTGGGTAATCTGTAAAATGAATCATCATAAAATGTTTAGCACAAATAGATAGATACTTTATACTCTATTGATCCCGTGAGATTTACCTCTAATCTAAGCCTTAAAAACAAAATACAGCTTATTGAGAATACTGGGCTACCAAAAGTAAGTAAAAGTAAGAATGGTAATTTTGGTAGTATTGAATTAAACTGAGAATTAAATATTAGTCTGTA